CCGTTGCTTTTGCCAGTGATTACATAAGTGAGCGTCCGGCGCAGACACCAAGGCGCTTGACGATCTCTTGTGTATTCGTGAGGACTTGAAGCTCGGCTTAATAACTGACTGGCTCTGTCCATATTGGCGTCGCAATGATACAGTAATATGGAAGGAGACGAGAGCGATCTCCTAGGCCCAGGCACCAGCGTGCTGCCGCGCACCTACATATGGAATGTTCCAGAAACATGCTTCAGCGCCACACGCGTGACGATAAGCCTGAGATTCGTGGCTGAGTACAAGTAGAACATAGCGAGCCTAGGCGTGAACATAGTAAATTGTATCTCGGCTAATATATATTACTAAGCACTGAAACATGTAGACCCCTCGTCGCACCGGCGTAACTCCCGGACTCTATTCTTTTCCTCTCTGAATACTTGTAAAATTTAGAGCTATAATATTTCGTGATAGGACCTTTCCTTAAATGCTCTGAATTTTGAAAATACTTTGAATGTCGCGATTGAACAGGGGGAAACAGCGGAAGCGGCGACCAGTAGCATAAGTGAAACGATCGACAGCATAATCAACCACACTCTTTTTTTTGTTACTAAGTGGTCTCCCTAGGAGAAAATAGTAAAAGAAAGTGATATATAAATAACATCTTTATAGACTTGCTAAGAAAATATTTATAGTTCTACAACTATAGATTTGTCTCGTAACAGGGGGCGTCTCGCTACGTAGGGACAGACGTTACAGGGAATGCTTTTGAGTGTTTAAGAGGAAGAAGATTCCTTTATTGCACTCTGCATTCATATGCATATTCTCCAGCCGTCCCGCAGAAATTACCTCGAAGAAATTTCGGGAAATTCGGAGTGGTCGGAAGCTTCAGATGCGATCCAAGGATTACGGGTGCTTCCGTAGCTCGAATACCAAGAAAGCTCGTGCCCGATCCAAGAATGGGGAAATTTGGAGACGATGCACAACCCCTGCACAAGTGTGTATAAGTCGTGAACTAAGGCCGTCCAAGGTGATTAAGGTCGTAATCTCTCGATCTGATAAGAAGGATCAGACCCACCACAAGGGAAAAGGATGCAGGGATCGGAGGACGCAGGTGCAGCTGCAAAGGTGGTGCCACCTCCGTTTCTTCTGTACCCGAGTACCATCGAGTTGTGAAATGAGTCGCTGGAGAGAAGGCTGGAAAAGTTAGAGAGATTGAGGGGACGATGACAACAAAGGTCATCCAAAGTTTCTTCTCTTCTCACGGGGCTGTACGGAGCACTCGGTATTCATAGTCACTAACCGGTGTTACTCTGAAAAGGGCTTGGGAATCTGCAGGTGACATCCCAGGGCCCTGTTGGTGCCACCAAGTGACCCAGCCCCAAGGCCAACCACCAGGCGGCTTCTGCGCTTCCTTTTGATCGCACTTGCCTTCCTTGAATCACTCACACCCCGCTCACTTCGTGCCCTGGAGTCTGCACAGTGTGTGTTAGAGAGCGGGGGTACTTGGATCCCTCGAGCCCTACCCTAGGGTCGCCTGTCTCTCACTGATGGACTCCCAACCGCTCACAGCGCCTAGTCAGCGGACCCTACCGAGTAGAACTGCCTAGATCGGTGGCTAGAGCTAGGTACTCCGTACCTACGCTACGCAACCTACGCGAATGCCCCCAAGCGGCACCATTTCCCCCACACCCGCTGGCAGCGCCATAACTGTTTTGATGCTGCTGTACTCGCAACTGCCAGAGATGATTCCCCGAACATCCCACCAACCTTCTCGCTCTCCTGATGAATCCACCGACTCCCACGCCCATTCCCATTCCCACTCCCCCCCGTATTCCCTTGCTGGGCTTCCACAATCAGACGCCACCCCGAATACCACCATAGCACCAGCCACTTCAGCTACAGCTAAAAATTCTGTCCCCCTCCTCTCCTTACCTCCTCCTCGTCCTTCTCAAATAGGAGACTCACCGCCGCAGCCTGCCGGCAATGAGTCAAGCAGATTTCGTCGACAGCCTCACTCAAGTGCAACTACATCAAACATCTCCACATCTTACCCTCTTCAATCCTTCTCCGATAACCCTCCGAGAGAAGCCTCTGCCTCTGCCTTCTTTGAAGACCAAGACCTTGACGACGAATATGCATCGCGACGAAACCCAAGTAGACCATTCATAACCCCGCTGAAAGCGCTCTGGCGACTCATGTCAAAATCACCCCTCCTCTTGCGCTCGTCGCCCGGCTTTGGCACCGGGTCATACGGCGCCGCTCCCGTGGGCGTATCGACCGAGAATAGTGAAGAAGAAGACAGTGATGATATACGAAGCAGAGACAAATGGAAGAAGAGAACATCGGGTTTAAGAAATGCCTTGAGTACGGGGACTCTTACGGGAACACAATCGAGTACCTCGGATTCAGAATCATCACACAAAAATGCTCGCAGAAGAACTTCTGGCAGCAGGAGACGGAAAAATGGCTCACGGAAATCAAGTGTAGCGGATGACCTTGGGATTACAAGCAAAAATGGCTCTGGGGGAATTCCTATACCGATTATTGGGGGTTCGGTGGAAGAAGGAACTCCAAGCTGCGATGAATCACCGGTCTTGGACAGCTCGGACGAAGCTATCGATGACGACCTTCCCTACAACGAAGAGGATCCACCCGACAACTCTATATACCCTCAAGTCCGAGCGTCGGTTTCGGCTGTCGACAATACGACTCTTTCTATAAACACCCCACGAATGTGGTTTCTTTCCATGTTATTTGCCATTCTTGGATCTTCAACGAATCTTTTCTTTTCTCTTAGATACCCCAGCGTTTCCATTACACCAGTTATCGCACTTTTACTTGTTCATCCACTCGGTCTTTTATGGGACCGAATACTCAAAAGAAAAAATGACCCCACAGAAGATTTTGTAGATGGGTTACGAAGTACACGACCCTCAGATGACGAAAGCGAGGCCAACTCGCAAAACACTTTACAACAAAAGTTTACCAAGCCTTCAAAGATACGTCGTTTCCGGCTATGGCTTTCCCAAGGAAGATGGAACGAAAAGGAGCATAGCTGTGTTTATATCAGCAGTAACATCTCCTTTGGATTTGCATTTGCTACCGATGTAATTGTTGAGCAAACCAAATTTTACAATCAAGAAGTTAGCATCACATACCAGCTACTTTTGATCCTCTCAACCCAAATCCTTGGCTATACCTTTGCTGGTTTATGCCGAAGATTTCTCGTACGACCCGGGGGGATGATTTGGCCGGGCACCTTGATGTCAGCTGCCATGTTTACAACTTTACACAAGGAAAAGAATGAAGTTGCCAATGGATGGAAAATCACTCGATGGAAGTTCTTTTTTGTCGTTTGGATATGTTCATTCGCATTCTACTTCCTTCCAGGATTACTCTTCCCGGCTTTGAGCTATTTCAGTGTCATTACCTGGATTTGGCCAAAGAATGTCGTGGTTGCCAATTTATTTGGTGTCGCCTCTGGACTTGGACTGTTTCCGGTCACTTTTGATTGGGCGCAAATCGCCTACATTGGTTCTCCACTCCTTACGCCTTTCTGGGCTGCGATGAATGTGGTGGGTGGTCTGGTTATAGTTATGTGGATTCTCGCCCCAATCGCATATTACAAAAACATTTTCTTTTCCTCATACATGCCGATATTATCATCCGCTGTTTTTGATAATACCGGTAATATATACGATGTCAGCAAGATATTGACGCCAGACTTTCTGTTTGACAAAGAAGCATATCACAACTATAGCCGAGTTTATCTACCAATCACGTATGTGTTGAGTTATGGATTGCAATTTGCCGCTCTAGCATCGCTGTTAACACATACTGCTTGTTGGCATGGGTCTGATATCTGGAAACAATGGAAGACCTCTCTGAAGGAGGTAGATGGATTGAGCAAGACATCGTATCAACCACTGCCATCTAACGGGGCTTCGAATGTTTTATCAAATGGATATAATCAGCCATCAAAGAGGGGTCGAAGAAGACCATCAGTGGCAGAATCCCAGGCTGATAACATCATCACCCAGGAGGATGTGCATAATCGGTTGATGAGAAGATACAAGGATGCGCCTATATGGTGGTATCTTGCTACATTTGTTTCCATGACGGCGGTAGGTATTTTTGTGGTAGAATAGTAAGTTTATTTTCCTCGAGAGTATTTGTCTACGCCCACTAACTTCCACAGTTATCCCGTCCATCTACCTTGGTATGGTCTTCTACTCGCCTTGGGTATCTGTTCCATTCTCTTTATTCCAATTGGCATCGTCATGGCCATCACCAATCAACACAGCAGTATATATCTCATTTGCCAACTTGTATGCGGTGCCGTATTCCCAGGTAGACCAGTTGCGAATATGGTATTTGTAACATACGGTTACATTTCGTCGGCACAGGGAATCAAGTTTTCCGCCGATCTCAAACTTGGACATTACATGAAAATCCCCCCTCGAATCCTCTTCTCCGTTCAAATGGTGGCAACAATTGTCTCTTCAATCACTCAAATCTTCATCCTGAACTGGATGTTTGCCAACGTCCCAGGTATCTGCACCCCCGAAGCCGTCAATGGTTTTGTCTGCCCTCTTGCACGAGTTCATTTCAACGGCTCCATCCTTTGGGGTGTCGTTGGACCTGCCGAGTTCTTCGGTCCCAACGCGACCTACCGAATCTTAGTCTGGGCTTTTCCACTCGGAGCCATTGCCCCAGTTGTCCTCTGGCTCTATGCGCGCAATCGCAAGAAGAACATCGTTCGAAAAATCAACCTCCCCGTTCTCTTTGGTTCCCTCTCCTGGATCCCTCCAGCGACTGGTCTCAATTTCTCGGTCTGGGCACTCGTTTGCTTCGCCTTCAATTACGTAGTGAAACGGCGGGCTGGGAATTGGTGGGCCAAATACACCATGACGCTAAGTGCAGCGTTGGACTCTGGTCTCGCCTTCGGACTGGTAGTTGTCTTTTTCGGATTCGTGTATCCTGGCCTCATGGATGGGTTCAAATGGTGGGGCACGGAGATTTATAAGAGAGGGTGTGATTGGAATGCTTGTCCTTATAAGGTTGTTCCTAACGGAAGCCACTTTGGACCGGATACTTGGTGAGGAAGGAGGGATGCGTGAAGATATATATAGTGGTGGTGCTGGTTAGATGGAAGGGCATGCTGGAATTACTATGAATGTTATGAATGTTATGAAAAGATGGCGTGGGGGTAGATTTGCATGTGTGAGGGAGCATTTAATTTTTATGGAGTTTTAGAGTTGGGTGGGTGGTTAGGCATTACATTGTATTACATATTACATCGTATGTGTTTATGTGTTTATTAGTAGTCTGTCTCTCTGTCTGGTTTTAGAGTATATAAGTCGCGTTATATACCTACTTTACGATATCCTGAGTATAAGATACCAAAATTTCCAATGAACGTAGTATAATCCCATTCGAAATTCGTAATTGGTAAATCGTATAGTATAGTAAAAGCTATGCAAGTATACTCGAGGAAACACCACTCATAATGACCGGCCTGATCAGTGGTTACTTTATAACGACATGGATCCGTCATCATTCATTGGAGAAGGGACTCGAATCCTTGATTATGGGTGATGCCGATAACTAAGTATCTGGGTCTTAAGTTTATTAAGGCAAGGTAGTGGAGTAGTGGAGTAGTAGCTTATATCTAACCGGTAAAAGCACTGGCCTACTCGCATTGGGATCTGTTGCGATATATTCACGTGTTTAATCACGTAATAATCCAGACTATATATATGGCCTAGATTCCACGTAGTAGACAGAACATTAACGATTATTTAGCATACCGACCACCAGAAGTGTATGCCTGTTGTTCGCCTTGTAGCACCGCGATATACCCTATATTTATCCTACTAAGTGTAACCGTGTGGAGTGAACCACTGCTTGCTGTGATGAATACGGAGTCAAACGGAAACTGCTGTATTGAGCGAACAAC